ATGAGTGGACTTCAACTCCCCATTCTGGCTGGGGAATGGGGAGTTGAAGTCCACTCATCTTAAAGTGGCCAAGTTTGGACAACACTGCACTAAAGTCAAGCAAACCAGCTGATTTAGTTATCAAAAAAGTTACAAGTATTCTGTAATTTAAACTTGTGTTCATATTGTTCATATTCATATTTTTATTTGGAAAAAGAGACCTCTGTGGGTTTTTCAGACTTGGACAGCTTCTTCAGTGTTGGGTGATTGATTATGTGCCATCAAGTCATCTCTTAGCAACTACACAGAGAGATTTTCTCCAAGATGATCTGTCCAACCTTGGTCTTCCAACCATGCACTCGTTGCCATTCTAATTGAGTTCATCCATCTTGCTGCCAATTGTCTTCTTTTTCTCTTTCTTTCCACCTTTCCCAGTTTTATGACCTTCTCAAAGGAGCTGAGTCTTCACATAATGTGACATAATGTGACAAAAATATAATCATTTGAGTCTGGTCACTTGTGCTTTGAGTGAGAACTCTGAATCTATTTGTTCTATGATCCATTTGTTCAATGATGCAGTGAGGTTGATGGCTGTAGAAAGGAATGTGCAAGTGACAGGGATAACATTTTGATTTTTTTCCCCCCTTTGGAACTACTTTTAAATTGCTGTTGTCTTTTTAAACCTTTGTATGCCACCCAGAGTTATTTTTGGGAGGTAGGTAGTCATATAAATTGAATGAATGAATAAATGAATGAATGAATGAGTAAATAAATAAATAAATAAATAAATAAATAAAATCTAATAATTTTTTACCTAGATGTAAATTTAACTGATGATCCAAATGTTTTCAACTAAACAATAGGACTATGTAGAGTTTCCGATTCGAACAACAAAATGTGCCTTACAGTATATCTGGGTGGGCATGTCTGATCTGTTGGGAACACCTTAAAGCAGGTATGTCTTTTCCTGGGCTCATGTAGCATTCTGAAAAAAGATGTATTTGATTTAAGGTATTCCTGACATGCTATATGCACACCCACGTGAGCTCTGAATCCGCCTTTGAATCCAGATCTCTGCCCAGCCCAAACCATTAAGTTTGTTTAGTCAGGACTACCATATCTAGGCTGCAAAAATCCAGGTGACCACTTGATGGTAGCAGATCTTTCTTTTGCTATACAGCAGTCATCTGGATTTTTGCAGCCCCTTACTTGAGTACTTGAAGGACTGTGAACAGCAGCAATGAGGAAAGCAATAGTCGTGAGCTTGTATATATATTCCAAGTCCCTGTTGTGCTGTTACACTGTATGCAGAATAAGTTTCGTGTCAAACCAAGTTAATGGATGACTAAGAAGCAACAGACTCCACTATCTATCAGTTATGAAGCTTGGGAATCAAAATCTTCTCTTCTATCCTTATTCTCCTAGGAGGTACTCCAAACATTAACCTCTAGGTTTGTCTTGTCCTCTTTCTCTTTCTTCTGTATTTTTGCCCAGGACTATTAAAAATTAAGTTATAGATGAATGGGTCCTAGTTTTTGTACATTATCTGGTCTCCCTAGGTTCAAGATACTTTTTATTAAAGGGGCTACAGAACAGAATACTAACTCAAGTTTGCACCTTCCTCATCCATCCACTCACTCATTCCATTTCAACTGCAAAGCATCATCCTCACTGCTCACTGGGTGACTTAAGGCAATCACTCTTTCTTGATCTAGCCTACATCACAGGATTGTTGGGAGGAAAATGGGAGTAGGAAGCACTACGTAGTCCACCTTAAGTTTCTGAAGGAAAGGTAGGATATAAATCTGAAAAGTAATTCTGTGGAGAGGTACATAAAAATTTCTGTTCCTATGCAAACAAGGCCCACAAGGATAATCAAGAGAAGGGATGAAAGTAAGCCCCCATTTAAAAGTTGAGCAAGAAACTCATATATTTCTTTCATTTTGCAGCATTCTTCACGTTTTAATTTAACCACAGACACTTTAAGCAGAATCATTCCTCAAGTAAGCATGAGCTATTTTAAAAAAATAAAACAATTGTGTCTTTATATGCATGAAAGTTGGATGAGTATTGATTGATTTCCAACAGTCTGAAAGAGCAAATGATATCTGCAGCATTTATCTTTGAGAAAGTACAGTATACTGCTTATGTCTTCTATGATTTTAGGAAAGATTGCCTCTTCCAACATGCAGAAAATGTGTTCAAGAAAGGCCCAATTGACATTTGATGGCAGGAGATCCATGTTGATATTTGTCCATTTCCTCCTGCAGGGAAGTTAATTGCTTGGTTGAATAATGGAGGCAAAAGATTAATCCTGCTGCCTGAGGATCAGAATCTCAGTCCATGCAAAAAATATGAGATCTGATTTGTTTTTTCCAGTCTTGTATTTAGTCTGGAAATTAGTTGCTCTCTCCAAAGTATGGCAGGAGAAGATGTGAGGCATATTCTAGAAATTTTGTAAATTCTGAATGAAAATGGGCACATAATATGCAAATAATATGTAAAATATGAGAATTTTATCACTACTCATACTGATAACTCCAGCTTTGAAATAACTACACTTACAATTCTGAGCAAATTTATTAGGGTGTAACCGTCACTGGTGAGCATGAAACTGAGCAAACTCAGGGAGACAGTGAAGGACAGGAAGGCCTGGCGCAATATGGTTCATGGGGTCACGAAGAGTTGGACACGACTTAACGACTAAACAACAACAAACCTCACTGGACAGTGGGACATATGTCCAAGTAAACATGCATGGGATTAATCACTTATGTATGTTATTTTGGGGTAAAGATACATAACAATTTTGAAATTGAGATTATTTGTGGACTTGGGGCCAAATAACTAAGACACTACTAGATAACACAGTGCTATTTAAATATATTTATTCATACAATGTTCTAAATTGTACAAGTGGAGCTATGGAGAATATGCTAGGTATTGCTGGTTGAAATCATCTCTATAAATCAAACATAACCATCTTTTTTTCTTTACGTAGGTTATGCAGTATTATACTGAATCACATCCAGTGAGAATGAAATTAATGGTTACTGCAGCTCCAGTTGTAAGGTTGCAAAATAACAGTTTCACTATAGAGATTCCTTGTTTTGTAGTAGTATCTGCTCTTCTGTTAAACTTAACTAAGCCCATCTTTGTCGTGAATATAGTAAGTAATTATGGACTACTACAATATTTAATGGTAATTGGTTGAATAAAACTCACTTCTTCCCTGCCGCCTTTTATAGAGATGCTCAGGGGCCAACCAAAGAAAATCATAGCTATGTAATAATTTGATGTAATGTGCTCAGCTGTTGGCAAAAGGTGATCAAGCCCTTTTTTCTTTGTTCCCATCCATTTTTGTCATGTTGTTGTTTCCTTGTTTTTAAATGTTTTTAACAATTTATAAACCACCCAGTGCTGCTGGGGTTCAGGTGGCTTGTAAATTTATTAAATTATTATTATTATCATTGTTGGTTGCAAAGTCAGCCAATTGTTTAGACTGGATTTGGCATTTTTATCCACCTATCGAGTCCTTCTCGGGGATCATTATCATTAATATCATTATTATTATCATTATTATAATGATGATGATGGAAGAATGCAAGTAAATCGCCATTGCTATCTTAAAGGAGGGCAAAGAGATATCATTTTAATTTTCAGTATAGAGATATATATTGTATATGATATGTATATATTTCAATATATACAGTACATATATAACCATCATGCTATTCCTAAGCAACGTTATTCAGAGCACAGGAAATTAATAATAAATAATGGGCCAAAGAAAAACGTAGGATGAGAAGAAAAGAACAGGAAATAAAGCTAATGCTAGTTTACATCAACAGCATTCATTATAAATCTCCATCCTTTTTTATCCTTGCAAACATCCTTGTTTATACCCCATCTATACACTGCTTCATACAGTACATTGCTGTTTGTTCTTTAAACTTCTCACCTCTCTTTGAAAATCTTATCAGTTCTATCCAGCCATGACTTATTGGTCTTCTCAACCCATTGCTTCATAATTCTGTTTTATAATTTGACTCTCATTCATTCTCTCTACATGATCAGGCAACTTCTTTCATGCATGTCATTCACTTTGGTATACAACCCACATTAATTCAGTACCCATCTGTTTCTGAACCTGTAGTTTTATTATACACATTGTGTAGGTACCCCATTGCCACTGCATTCAATTTAACTTTTACGTTTCTCCTAACTTTCTCAACTCTCAATTCCATATACCAAAAATGGACAGAAGCTCTTAAAGCAGCTTTAACTTCTTCCAACAAACATTTATGCCTTGCAACAGAACACATATTATCCATTTATTAACATCATTTGCATGTCTTAAAATGTCTCTGTCTTCTCAACTTTAGTACACATTGTACCAAGGTTCACAAATTCATATAATTTATCTCTTTTTTTTTGCCATTTATGTATAATTTGCAATTTTTTGTTCCATTTGCCCTATCCAACACAATTATGTTGGTCTTTGATACATTCATTTTCAGATCCAGACTCCTTGCTACATCATATAATCTAGCATTTGTTGTAAATAATTTGGGTTCTCAGTCAAAAGCATACTGTTTTCTGCATTAAAAAGTGCATGCATATTCCCATCCCCTGCCAATGCATTTTTAATGTCACCAGCAGCATTCCTTAAACAGAGATCCAAAATAACTTAAACAATCAAGGGGACATCTCATGTTCTTCTCATACTCCCTGCTTAATATTGAAGCATTCCCTAAGTATTCCTTTTATTTTCACGCATGCTCTATTTCCACATATTCTGCTCTTTGGCCAATATGCCACAAGTGCAACCCAGTTTTACTTCAAGCATGCTCACATTATTCTATGCAAGATTAGCTCTCTAATCCAGAGACTACCTTGTAAACCAACATACTGTTGCCTACATCCCACCAACTAAGAGAAATTGATAGTGTAGTCACTGACACCCAGCCAGGGTGTTTTTTTTTTATTCATATATAATTTTTATTAAGAGTTTTCATTACAATGGTAAAAACAACTACAAACTAAACTTAGAGAAAGAGAATAGAATGGAAGGAAAGAATAAAAAGTGCAGGAAAAAAGAAGGAAAAGAAAGAATATGATAAGGAAAAAGAAAAGAAATATATTAAAAAAGGACTTCCAACCTTTATCACTACAAGTATAAACAAATTTAATAACTCTTCACCCCCTATAACGTTAAACAGATATCTCTTCATCCCATATCCCATCCCTTATCTATAAGCAAATCCATAAAACATCAACTTTTCAATCCTGGTGTCTGCAAAAAGTCCATAGCCAGAATATTGCAAAAAAAAGTCTTACCTTGATCAAATAAACCAACTTTAAATTCCTTTACTTCTAACAGTCTTAATCTTTAATTCAATCAAATATTGTGGTTTAACAAGCTTCTTTTGTAGATCCAAAAAGAAAACATTTTCCAGGTCATTCTCTTGGTCTATCATTTGTATTTCCCTTTTAATTTTTAAAACTTCAGTCAGTTTCTTTTGTATATCCAGTAAAGTGTCCTTTTCCAAATCATTATCTTGACGTATCATTTGTAGTTCCACATTCTGTACTTCCTCTGTCTTGTCTGATAAAATTTGTTCCACATCTGTCATTCCTTCATTAACATTTTAGACATCCATCTTTTAACATCCAGACATCTTTTAACATCCATAGAAGCAGACATCATTACTGACAGTGTTGATATTATAGTTACTAATTTTTGGCTCCATTTCTCAAAGATCTCCTTTGGTATTTCCAATGTTATAATGTTTTGTGTCATTTTGTAAGCACCAGTATTAATTGATATCAAGAACAGGCTTGTATTTTTTTTTCTTCTGCTTAAAATCTTTAGATGAGTTTCTAAAATCATCACTTATTTTTTGTTATGACTTGCAATATCCAGGATAGCCAAAATAAGTCTATTTTCCATGAGAAGTTGTTTGTTTATTTTTTATGGTTAATTCCAAAATCTTATAGTAAACGTCAATATTCCAAATTTATCTGGACCCTTAATCCATTTATAATTTTCTTAGATCAAAACCTTATTTAGCTTTTTCCCGTTTATTTCAAATTCTTTAAGTTAAGCTTATAACTAATTTTTCTTTTGTTCAGAGTTGAAGATAAACTCAGCTGATGAAGACTTTTCAAACTTGTCATTCTGTTAATAGCTTTAAGATGGTTAATAGGCAATTTCCGAAAGTGATTAGAAAGTGAGGTTTACAAACTTAGTATCCTTTAAAAGGCTCTGCCATGGTTGTGAGCAAGATGGCTAATCCTATCGTTTCCCGGTACTCAAACCTGCAGAAGACCACTGTCCTGTGGTCTCCTTGTGGGGACCGGACATCTGGAGCACATATGGGTGATTTTCCATCCTCATCCATAGAGGTTCCAAGGAACTGGTCTACTCACCAGTTCCTTGGACTTTGCCGCAGTCTTCGGCTGTGCTTTCACAGAGCCATCTTCAGTTCACCATACCTCCCCAGGAAGTCCCACCCAGGGTGTTTTCTAACTTCTTATGATAAAAGGCCAAACCTAATAATCCTAATCTGTTAGCACTATTTTAAGTTTGGCTATTTGAATTCCTCCTTCAGTACTTTATTTTACAAAGGAAGGAATATTTGCTTTTGAAGCAAAGTGCAGGTGTTTATGAGACTTGTCTCTTTGACATAGTTGCCATAGATATGCAGCTATAGACTCTTCTCTCTTGTTATTAGTCTGCCCCTGATTTGTTAGTTAAGACAGTTTTGTTCTTGGCTTGGGTAGAGGGGCTACATCAGTCACTGAACCATATAGAGAGATTATCATGGATGTAAGTTGAATGACTCTCCCCTTAGCAGAGCATTTAATAAACAGACCATTATGTGCATGTTCATTATTCATAAATTGTTGGCATTCATATTTTTAATTGGTGCTAAAAAGATTGTGGTCTATTTAAGAATTGAAATTAATGGAGTTGCTCACAACTGAACAGTTTAAATGTTGTGTCCACCTAGTATTCTCTTAAGACAAATGAGGGGTAAAAAAGAATGTCATTTTTTAATTTTAATAAGTTAACTTTGCTGTTTATCTAAACAGAGAGCCAGAGCTTTTGCATAAGATTAACAACAAATAGGTCAGCCTGTTCCATAGATTTACAATCTAAAGGATAGAACATAAAAGAGAAAATGGTGAGAAATGAATAGGAAAACAAAGATATTCAGGCACCATCTCAAGTTATAAAGATCTTAAATGACCTGCTGGAAACAATTCAGAGAGAGGAGCAGCTGATGAAGCAGACCATGAAAACTTCTCTCTTATTAAACTGAAGAACAGGAACAAGAAAAAGAGAGCTTCTATTTTGAATACATGAATAGAACACACTAGTTTTAGCCAGAATAAGAGAAAATGGTATTTTGTCCATCTATTAATACTTTTTCTTTTTCTCTTTGTAGTCCATAGGTCTGAATGCCAATGCAGCAATAGTTAAACAAAAGCTAATTATCTCATTGCAGCTCCAGAGGTAATTCAGAGACTCAGTCCATGATTACAACTGAAAATAATAAATTATTTCCTAAATTTCTCACTTGGGATTGCCATTGCTGTCATTTACCCAGCGTAAAGAGAAACCTGGTAGATTTGATTTTTCCCAACAGACAGGCTTCGTAGAATATAATAGTAATGAGCTAGAGGCTAAAAGAGGCAAGTCTAGATTGATTATTGGTGCATGTTATTTGCTTACCCTTGGGAAGAATGAGTGAACGGGTTGAAAAGCAAGATATTAATCACAATAAAAAAGAAGAAAATGCTCAGAGACCTCTAGGTACATAGAGAGAAGTTTATTATGCCAAATAAATTCTTTTTCAGGGACATTTTAATAATTATTTCCAACCTGTCTATAAATAGCTAGAAACAACCTTCAACAATGCATTGTTGAATTACTAGATCACTGCCTTTACTTCCAACAATGTTCTTTCTTGTTTATATTTTCCTCTCTGTTCCCTGTGCTCTAGTTGTGCATTTGTAAATAATCATAGATTAGAGAAATGTTCATTAAGTTTCCTGTGCCATAGGGAAATTGTCCACATAAAGGAGTGCCCTGAACTTCCCTGTTGGCTGCTCTGAGTGCATGAGGAACCCAAGAACAACCATTCTATATCATTCTGTTTCCAGAGTGGCCAATCAGGTGGATCTTGATAAGTCCACAAGCATAACATGACTTTAAGAAGACCCTCCTACTCATTTTCTGCAATATATCTTATTAGTGATATGCTAGTCCCAGTGCTGAAGATAATAAATTGCATCATGAATAGTATCTATCTAACTTACACATACACACTAATCCAAGTTAGTAGTATCGCTACATCTTATGATAAAATAAGTTGATTACTCTTCAACTTTTTGCTGTGATTTATCTAGGGAGATGGTAGGCTTCATTTCACCAGATATATTCAAGCAGAACCTGGGTAGATGTTTGCTGGTATTCTCATACTTTAATTTGGATTCCTGCATTAAAATAGGTACCCCCTTCCAGCTGTACTAATTCTACTCTAAAATGTTAAGAGTTACAATACCAAATTATACTTTAGTGTTCCTATGCTTCATTTCAGATTACAACTGTCTTTGACTTACTCAAACATTGGCTTTTTCCAGGTAAATGAAAAATGACAATAATAATAGAAACATGTATTAGGGTACTTCTCTGTGTGAAAATACAAAGCAATGAGCTTTAATTCTGAGCTTGATTCAGCAGTTAGAAGCAGAAGTTAGGGGTTTCTCCTAGATTGTGCAAATGAAGGGGCAATCTGGCCTATTTCCACTTATCTCCTCTTAGGTGTAGCTCTACAGACACTGGTATACAGCCCTTCCAAGAAATCAAGACATACACAGTAAGCAGAATGATCCATTAAAGATGCAAGAAATTCACACCACTTCGCTACTCTAAATCTATAATTTAAATATAGGCTTATTGAAAGGAAAATCAAAAGAGAATAAAGGATATGAGTAGAGAGGGGCACACTTATAAAAATAAGAACAAGAAGAAAGGGCTTTGATTAGGTTTTATGTTAATCAAGTGGGGTGACTTTAATTGACAGTTGACCGACCCTCTTCTGGTCAATGGGCAGTATATACTCAGGCAGAAGTGAAATCATCTGTGGGGGTAGTCAGAATTGGGAGTCTTGCAAAATAATGCTAACTGAGACACGACTAGAGAGAATCTAAAAATAGAGCCAACTCAGAGGAGATTTTAAACCAAGCAAACTAGTCAAGGTCAGGCTTTGCCCAAATGTATGTCTGTATATCTGGGAGTAGTGTTAAATATAGCTTTCTATTATATAGGTCCAACATTTGAAGAACTTCCTGTCTTATTCCTTGCAAAATACAGTGATTCCACCAATCAGTGGTAAGAATCATGAAAACTTTCTTCACAGCTTATGGTGTTTGGGTCATAATTTAAGTGAACAAATATTTCCCAAGGATTATCAAGATCTGAGGCCTTGTAGAAAGGTATAATGTTATGAAATCTTTTTTTAAAATATCCTCAAACTCAAGTTCAGAAACAACAGTGAAGCACAAAATTAAACAAACGATTAGAATAAGCGTGACAAAGCTATTCCGCTCCCATCATGGCCTGACTGAGGCAGTGAGTAAAAAATATTTATTTTTATGGGCAGCATCAGTATGATTCAAAAAGAAGAGTGAGGGAATGGGTATACAAGAAACCTGATAGCATGGTTAAATTGATGGGAAATATAGACCACAACAATATTGGTTTCAGCATTATAAGAGATCTGGCACTACTTAGGGTCTGGACGTATCTTTGGCGCTTTCTGACTCCTGTTTACCTGATTTGTAAATGGGGATTACCACACACACAAAGAAATTATACAAAGAGCTCATAAAATCTATAGCACCACTTTAAATTCTCAAGGGCTTGTGCTACCAAGAGGTATCCATATTGAATTTGTTTATTGTGGATTTTCCTGATACTTTTAATGCAATGTCTTTTTGTTTGTTACCTTAAGCTGCACTGAAGAGAGGATTACAGTTACCTACAATGGCCAGGCTTGCTTTCCCTGAAGCTGTCACTGAAGTTAACCAGGTAGAGTTCAGATTTCTTTGTAGAACATCCTCTTTGTTTTCCTCTATTTTTAAATGCAAAATGGTGGTGTTCTTGCTGATGAAAGCCATAACATTCTGGGTTACGGAGAAGACTTTTTTGTGAATGTTCAGAACTTCAGCTCCAACCAAAATAACAACAAACCACAACCCCCTTTGTTTTTAATGGAATAATCAGACACTGGTTCAAAATCTAGCATTAGTAGATAAACACTGGTATAATTACATGCCAGAGGGCTTGTCAGACTGATGTGCTTCTCCATCACATAAAATCTGTGCAGAGCCTTCATCTTCTTCATGTTAATCTGAATGTGTGAATTGTACCTAATTCTCTGTCACTGTGGTGGCAATCCCAGCTGACGTGTCTTTGGTGCATGGTCACCCAATATGAGAAGGCCCTTGAAATGGTGACACCAAGCTTTTGAATGGATGTTGCAACTTAGCATTTTTAGCAGGAAACTTGGAATGTGGTTAGATCACTTTGTGAAGCACAACCCTATTAAATATAAGAAAATAACCTCAATAACCATTCCCAGTTGGTTATAATGCAACAACTCTAGCTCTGCTACATTAATTAACAACTGTAAAGGCAATGACAATCCAGTTTAGTTTAAATGGACAAAGTTAGACATCTCATTTAACTCTTTCATGCTAGGCTTTCCACCTGAAGTTTTCTTGTTGAAAAATAGCAACTTTCAAATCAGCAGTGAAGTGTCCTAAAAATTGAAATTAATTTTAGATACTAATCTCTGCTCTCATAAACAAGTTCTGTTTCAAATGTCTCAGAGTCTTGAATTATACAGTATATGAAATCCTGATTCTATAAGGTTTAGCATTTTAAACAATATTTTAGACTGCCTAATAACTAAAGTTCTCTCAACAGGATAGAGGTAAACTAAGATCATGAGACACAAATTCAGAAGAAAACAATGATAATAAAATGTTGCAAAATAAAGTCAGCAATCAGGAGTACAAATAGTGCATAGTGAAAACCAACATAAAAACCAAACAATGGAAATATCTAAATATATTTGGAGGACATGATAAATTATTTCTTTCTGTTGCTGTTTTTAACTTCCCAGGGATATATACTGATTTCCACTGACGTAAATTACAAATATTAAGGAAACAGATATTTCATCAGATGGAAGAATTACTGTGGAATACTTAGCGCTCTGTAAACAGTTTTCTCTAGATATTTTTAAAGAAGACCATGGCTGCATCTTTTGGAATAAGAGGAAAAAAAATGTTGAACATCTGTAAACTTCCAAATGCTACGGACAAATAATTTGTGGGCATGACCACATCACATTTTGAAATCTCAAAAGGTTGTTTAATATCACCATTATTGTTTGTGAAAGTGATTGTATCTTCCAATTCTCTCTCAGGCATTGCACATGCAACCCCTGTGTTTTGGAGTTAAAGTATTTATTTTAAGAAAGAGAGCAAGTGTTTCTTTGGAAAAAGATGCTTACATGGTGGTCTCGCTTGTGAAAGGACATCATGAAGCTGATAACTTTTAGTGCTTGCTTAGGATCTAAGAGCATGCAGCACGTAGCATCGCCATCTAGGATTACCAAATATGCAGTAAAATAAGAAAACTGTTGAAGAATATATTCTGTATTGCTTAAATGGATTGACTTTTTTAGTAGTAGTTTTGTGCCTCCTTACTATAATTTGATGGAAATATATATGTATCTATATACTACTAAAATTCTCATGTCTGTAACCTTCAACTGGGCAAACTGGTGCATCGTAGGGCAACAATTTTTGAACCAAGGTACCTCAGATGGGCTAATTTACAGAATGTGTCCAAAATCTGGGACCCATTACTCCAGTGGGATTGAAATTTGGGGGATTTGTGGCTGTTTCAGCACTGCTGTGCTGCTGCACCACCATGGTCAGCCCAGGTCACGTGATCATCATTGGCATATCCCTGACCTTTTCCTGCCTCCTTCTGTCCACTCTGCCCAATCAGCTGGCAGCAAGGCCCAGCAGGTGAGTGGCAATTTGCTGCTTTGGAACCAAGGCCAAAATCTGAAATCTCTCACTGGTGGTGGGCTTTGAGGGAAGGGCAAGGGAATGACTTGGATGCCTGCTGGCAAGGTAGGGCTGGCTGGGGGGTGCCAGTGGTCAATGAGTTTCCTCCCTTGAGGGAGGGGGCTCCCTTTTCCTCCCTTGAGGGAGGGGGCCGTTCAGCACATGCCAGAATGGGGACCAGGGGTGCAGTATTCCTCACAGTCTGCGGCTCCCTTTGTTCCACCTCCCCCCAGAAAAAGCAGCAGGCAGTTCCACAGATCAGTTGAGAAGGAGGAAGCTTCATGGGGGCTATCCTGAGGGTCACGAGAGGAAGGCAAATGGCACAAGCCTATATTATATGTGGGAAGGGAGGGAGGGAGGGAGATTTCTGACACTCCCTGCCAACTTCTCATGAGCAAAGTCAATGGGAAAGCCGGCACTCCCACTGCTTTTTTGCCCTTGGTCATTCTGTTTCTCTGTTTAGGTAAGGAAATATCTCTAAAATGACCCAATGGGCCATGGGTTGGGCCAATGGGCCATGGGTTGTCTAATTAAGTACATAAAGGCTGGGACTCACATAAAATTCTAAGCAACTCATTGATACAAATAGCAGCATCAAACTGCCTGCTCCATCATACTGTGGTGTTTTGTCCTTTCTGGAATCTGACCTTGTCTTTCTAAATGACAGTCCTGCTCTTGACTCCTTGGATACCAATCTTTTGGCGCTGTCAACTTTAGCCTTCCCTTTTTCATCTATGACCAAGAACATCTGTGACCAAGAACAAACCTCCTGCTATTTGACATGACCCTGCCACTGATTCCATCTCTAAAAAGTAAGCAAAGGGTTAGGCCATGACCCACAATTGGCAGTTCCTCTTCAGTATGTAGACACCCAGATTCTGTGATTGCCTTATCATTGCTCATTGTATGGAGAGCTAAAAGTCTCAGCCAATATCAGGGACCCTCTCTCCCTGTTGAAATCCTTCCAGACAAAGACTTTTGCCAGTAGGGATATGAGCAATCAGCATGCCTGAATTGCTCAGAGAGATTCTACCTACCCTTCCTGTGTTCATTCTTGTTCCAACATTCCAGGAAGAAGAACTTGAGTAGTAGTCTTGTGAATTAAAATGCCACAAGATAGCAATCTGGAACATTTTTGGAGTTCATATAGGAAGTAAAATCATGAGTTTTTATGATTTATGATACAAACCAAATATCGATATCTACCATATAATTTATAAAGGAATGAAGAATAAAAGAACAACCTACTGCATTAGGCCAAGGCCCAGCTTAGTCCAGCATTTTGTAGTCAACCAGATTTATTTATTTTTATTTTTGTTTATTATTTAAATTTGTATGGCAGTCCACTCTTTTTTTTTAAACACATGACTCTGGGTGTCAATCACAACAATCAATCACAAATGACCGACAATAAACAAATATAATTTAAAAACAACACACGGTGCCCAGAGTGGCTCAAAAAAAAAAAAATACAACTACACCATCGAGGCAGACTCATCCATAGTACAGTGACCATATGTCCTTTATTATAAAGGACAGTCCTTTATTTCAGAAAGCTGTCTTTTAGATTTATTTAATTTAATTATTTATTTTCTTGGTTTTGCTCTTGAATTTTCCTTTGTAAAGCAAAGTTATAAACATGCGCAATTAAAAATTTTATCCTAATAAAGCTCTTTCAGATTTGCCCCTTTTTCAGGTTTGTCCTTTATTTTTTCCAAGAAAATACAGTCACCATATCCATAGGGCAAGTGCTGCAACAGAGAAGGCATGCTTCCTGGATCCTGTTAGATGAAATTATTTGTAGATGGTACCAAGAGTGTGCCCGCCCTGCCCACCCTGCACGTGTCAGCCCTTCAAAGTAGATCAGGTCAGGAAACAGACAAGAAATACTAGAACTTCACTTTATTGATATAAACTATAATGGCAGAATATTGGAAGCCTGACAGTGTTTTTCCACCTCTCCCTTTTATAATAAAGAGAAGAAAGACAGGGCAGTATTGAATTTCTTTCTCATGCCTTCCTGTTTTCCTTGGCTAAGCTCATGTTTTTCAAATGGTTGCCACATATTTTCTTCAAGGCCATCTCCATATTCCTTTATATCAGGATGAGCAGAAATAATTGGAGATAGGTGGGCTCCGCAAATAACCCAGCCCTGCACCATGAAGTGTTTCATAGACAACAACCATCACCTTGAACTGCACGCAGAAGTACATTGCAATACCTTTGGGTTGCTCACAAGCAGAAGATGGGGACACACCCTGCTTCCATTGTTCTTCTGCAACCAATATTTGAAGTCATGCTACCTCTAATGAGAGGCATCACTGAATCCCTTATAAAACATGAATTGATTCATTTCTCTTTAAAAGCTATCCAGCATAGTGGCCATAATTACATGTGGGGTTAATGAATTCTACAAGTTTCTTCTTTTAATCTCAGTAGATAACATTCATACAGAAGAAAGGAGATATCAACAGGTTTAAGGAACCAAAGATTTGCAAACTTTCAAAATACTCTATATGGGTAAAGCCCTCATGGGGGAACCCAACTATGTAGACCAGGAGGCCAGAACATGCCTGGTGGTCCTAGAATACTTACCACAGGAGACAAATGTACCCAGTATTCTAAATAAGACCCTACAAAACTGCAATATTTTGGAAATCGTTATTTTTTCCTTTTCTTATTTCTTTCTTTTTATTTTTGTTTTTGAATTATATACTAAACATACAACTTTGAAAAACATACAACATTTGAAACATGTCCTCAGTTATCAATAGTCTAACAAGATCTCAGCACTGGAGAGTTATACATCTTCTTCATCAGGCTATCCTTTTATATAATCCACCCTTCCCTAATGTGAGACCCTCCAGCTCTGTTAGACTAAGTCTCCATAATCCACCAAGTCTAGGAAGGTCATTGGCTTTTATCAAACACCTTAAAAATCCTGAGTTTCTATACTGAGACTTCCCTTTGCAAATTTCAAATCCTCAGTTAATCTCTCTTTGTATGATCCAGAGGTAGGCAGAAAATATATCAGGGGCAGATCTTGGGATCTTTTACAATAGTTCATTAAACAGTTGCTTTAGTAGGAGTATACTGTATATTCTCTTTCCACAATACACAAGGATATTGAAATGAAGATGATGAGAGGGACCAGGAATAAATGTTTGTAGGAAAAGAACTAAAAAGTACCCTTTGAAACACAGCTGAGCATATCCCCAGAAGCATTCTCCTCTGTAAACTGCCCAGAGTCACTTTTTAATGAGATGGGCAGTGACAAATTTGATAGATAGATAGATAGATAGATAGATAGATAGATAGATAGATAGATAGATAGATAGATAATCTTCCTTAATTCTGTGCATTTTGGCTACTTTTTAAACCTGGATTCAGTCACTAGCGTTCTAGCAAAACAACCTCAATCCCATAAGGCTAAATTCTGCAAACATAAAGCATATTAAGGTTTTGCCCTTCTTCTAATAATCACAAGCAATATATTTGCAATCTTTGCCGTTTTACAGAGCAAAGCTTATAGAAATAGGAAATCGTAATAGTGGAACTGAAAATTATTTTGAACTGTGGAGCCTTTTATATTCTAGCCTACAATACAGTTATCAGGTTTTCTTTTTCTTTACAGAGAGATCATTTCAGCTAGATTTAGCTTGTTTTGCTTTAATAAGGAAAATAATTTTGCACAAAAATTATTATGTGTTAGAGTTTCATTCCACAGCAATTAAACTGTTTGCTTTAAAAGTGAGCCAGTTACTGGCAGTTTTATTTATCCAAGAAGTCATAAACCATCAAAAAGATAGGAAGCAGTCTGACGAAGACATTCAGCAATGGCAACAGCCCAGAAATCTACAAAGATGGAAATAAAGGAATAATCTTTTATCTATTTAAGGAATATCTTGTCTATCAGATCAATTGTGCACACATCATAAGGTATGGTTAATGTTTGCTTGAACTTAACATACAATTAAAGATTTCTTACAGATTATGTTCACTGCATGAGTTTCCATCACAGCTGGGTTATAAATAAAGGTGCTTGATCGTGAGACAAACAAGATTCATCTGTGCTCACTGAGATTCATCCTAGCAAAACTAAGGTAATGGAAGCTCACAGATTTGGTGATTAACTAGTTGGTTGGTTGATGGGAGAGAAGAAGCTTTGATGGTTAGTTGGGTGTCTTTCAAGAACAGAAAGAAACAAAATCTTAACTGGTCTAAAATGAACAAAGCAAAACTAGCTTTCAGCAGCTGATGGCCCAAATAAGTGCCATTGTATAGCAAGGTCTGGTTGGTTTCAATGAGCTGGATCACAACTTCTGCTTATTGATTCTAAATATAGAGCCAGTTTCTCATTAACTATTAAATGAAAAAGTATTTAACCTAGGAGATAAACATGGCAACAACAAACGGTTGAAATTCACTGTAAAGCTCTGAAAGTACTGTTTCTCAACCTTGGCAACTTTAAGATGTGTGGACTTCAACTCCCAGAACTGGGAGGCTGGCTGAGGAATT